AGAATGATCATTATGAACCATCCTTGATCTTTTCAAATCACCTTTGATATTGATATAGGCCTCACCACATTCCCTTAGTCTTTTTCTTTCATTTGCTTTGCTTCTAGAAATATTAAAAAATTGTTAAATTTCATTATAAATATAAAAATTTTCAATTTTTATGAGCAAGTAATGCTTAATAATTTATCTAAATTATGAAAGTAAATTATTAAAATATTGTTAAATTTCATTATAAAGATTGTATTTTTAATTTTTATATGGGCAAGTAATGCTTAATAATTTATTTAAATTATGAAAGTAAATTATTAAAAAATTGTTAAATTTCATTATAAAAATTGTATTTTCAATTTTTATATGAGCATGTAATGCTTAATAATTTATTTAAATTATGAAAGTAAATTATTAAAAAATTGTTAAAATTCATTATAATTTAATTTTCAATTTTTATATGAGCAAGTAATGCATAATAATTTACTTAAATTATAAGCATAATTTAAAAAATTGTTAATAAATTTCATTATTGTATATAATAAAAAATTTACCTTGACATTTAATTTGTAATAGAGATATGGAATGAAAATATTTTACGATTCAATATAGAAAAAAAAATTAAAATATGAGGGAAAACAACACGTGATTAAATAACATAATAGGATAGGCTATGCATATGAAGAAAAAAATACAACGTTATATGCTAATAGCGCGAAATTGACAGAGCTATAACTTTGGCAAAAATTAAGATTTTTTAATCTAGTTTTTATTTTTATATATATTGGGAATAAATTAGTAATTATCCACTTCTAACTCAAAAATTTTGAAAATGTCGAGTGGAGCACTCCAATTCTAGACCGACGATATATTAAATAAATAATTGTATAATTTTTTTTCTTGTTTTTAGTAATTTTTATTTTAAAAATATATCGCATATCACTAACACTATCATAGTTAATTGTTGAAATATTTTTCCTCATATTTGCACTAATAATATCCATGGTTCGGAAAAGTTTTCAATTATATGAATGATGTTTTAATAACGGGAACAACATTGAGCAGCATAACCAAGGGTTGGAGAAAGCTTTTTCAAGAATTCTAAATAAAGGATTATGAGCTAGTCGCAAATAAAACCAATTTTTAATTAGTATAATAAAAATTAAAGGTTAAATATAAAAATAAAAATTTATAGGTTAAAAATGAAACCTAAATGTTAAAGAACTACACCATATAGAAAATAAAGAAATTATAGTAAATACCAAAAATGATAAAGTAATTATAGAAGATAATGAACCACAAATGATAAGATTATTTAAATAAAATGAAGAAATCAAGTAAATAATGAATTCCATAGGCGTAGATAGTATTGATATTTTCCACATATTTGGAGGTCTTTAGGTACACCAATTGTAGGTTTTTAGAATTTTTATAAAAATTATTTTGGGTTTTTACTATTTTTAAAAATGATTTTTTGAAAATTTTTTTTGAATTATGGTCTTTATTTAAAAAAAGTTAACTTTTACTATTGAAATTTTATAGTGATATATTATATCCATTTTGGGAGGGGGAGGGGAGTGTATGGGGAACTTTTTTATTAGCCTAAAATGGTATTTTAGAGAACAAGCAAATTGTAATCATTTTAAATTTATCATTAAGAAACATATTTGTTCTAGCAATTTAATCCTTTCTAAATAATGAAATTAAGTTTACTTTATAATGAATTAATTTTAAAATAAGATATAGAAAATTTAATTTTTTCATAAAATAATAATAGGCCAACTTGCGGATTAAATTTTATACAATAATATTTTTTATTTTAATCATCTATGATATAATTATATTAAAGGATTTAAACTATCTATTAATAGATAAAAGAAAATTGTATATTACGTTTTTATTGAATTTATTGAGTAATTCATAGCAAAATTAGAAAAATGTTGGCTAAAATATAATGTTTTTAAAAAAATTAAAAAGTTTGTTTGAGCTTAACATAGTAATACATCATGATATTCCTTTTTTAGGGGAAATAAAAAATGGTTCCACTATTTATTTCGATATAAAATGTCAATTATTTAATTTAATTTTTGAATAATATTCGGATAAATATTAATTTTTCTTTTACATTAAATTTAAAAAATTTATTATATTATTTTTTTTAACAACTTCATATATTTTTTATTATGTTTTTAAACATTAAAGCCTCAAACATATTAAATATTTTGAAATTTATATTAAATTTATATATTATTTAAATTTAAGATTTAATGTTGTTTTTATTTTTTTTATAGTGTGTATATATATAAATATATATCAGGTTTTCTTAGGAATTTTTTCTTTAAAACAATTATATTATATTTTTATTTCTAACAATTATTAACTCATTTGTCAGGGAAGAATATATTTTTATCATAACTATGAGAGGGTGGATATAATTTAAAAATATAACGGGCGGGTTTGTTGATAAGACTGTCCTCTCTCTCTGGGTTCTATTAATAAAGCATCGACTGAGCATTAGGCAATTACTATTCTATTTAAATCAATTATAAAAGAGTTTTCGCATTTAAAATATTTTTCCTACAAAATTAAAATTTTGACCTGACAACCCTGTTTAAGATAATTTAAAACAGTCATATTTTTTCGTTTAATTTTTATTTAAAATTGCAAAGCGTCGGAAACAATATTATAAATTTATTTTTAATATAATTTAATAATCGTATTTAGCGAGATTTTTTTTCATTTCTAAATTATTACATTTTGAAAATTTTTGTAAAATTTTAGTAGCAATGTGTATAGTGTTCTGGGTCAATTTTTAAAAATGACCCGATTTAGATTTTAGCCATTATTATGCAAGCATCTAGATTTGGCAAATAGATGTCCAAACATTTCTATCATCTATGAGCAAAATATAAAAATCATTTAATTTTATCAATAATATGTTTATATATTCATCGAAAGTACATTTAGGATAATCAATTACCATAAATTTTATCCTTAAACCAACACTTTATTTAAAGTTAATATATTACAGATTTCCCCTCTACAAATTAAAATCGTCATGATAACATAGTGAAGGTTTCGAAACTCCCATTTTAAGAGATGTATTTCCATTATGTTCTACATTGTCCTTCCGTCATTTTCATAAGTATTTCCTTAGCTTGTAAGTCAGCATCCCTCAGTTATGGACTGATTGTTTTTAACAATACCCTCAGACTCAACATCATACAATATCGCACTTTTCCGTTGAACAACTTTCCCTCCATACATTCCTAAGTCCTTTCGTTTTCTGCCCAAACATTTTGGCTTTTTTCAAATTCACGTGCTCAACATTTCTATCTTTATGATTATTTTGTTTCCATAATGCGTTTTCAGTTATTTCTCTCGTTCTCTAATTTTAAAACAAGTATTATTATTTTAATTTATTTACTCTTTCTTGGCATAACTTAAGATATCATATTTCTTCTTCAGTATAGTTAGTAATTACTATATTTTTAGTCGATAAGTTTTTCGCCAAAAATTATCACTTTGGCCTCAAGGTTTATCTTAAAAAGATAGCAGCTGGAATGTGAAAGAAATTAATAAAAATTAAAACGCATTATAGTTAACGGATTTTTTTCGGCAGGCGCCCAAAGATTGAGCCGAATGAGCCCACATATAGACATTACACAACTATACTTTACAGTGATAATAATGAAATTAGAGACGGAAATAAAGTTTCGGTTAAAGATATTGATTTTATATTTATTTTATTTCTGCTCTTTATATGAATTAATATAGATGAGTATGTAATATAATAACTACCAAAGAGAGAAAAGACGAGTCCATGTATGATTGTTAAGAAACTGTCAATTTTCCCAATCTGTTATATATTATCAAGTTTCTTAAAAAAATGTAAAAATGAAGCAGCGCATTTTTTTAGATAAGCTTACGTTATACCATGATGAAAATAATTGAATATAAAACAAAAATTAGATAAAATTTCTTATCATGCAGACCAATAATATTGTATATAGATTTTCCAAAATTATATACCAACATATCTCCTTCAACGCAGGTTGAATGCTTATTCCATGGTTAAAAATATTCTTACTTATATGATGGGATGCTTCCTTGATAAATATTTTGAAAATATATAGTTAATTAAAATTTAATAGCAATATTTGGTATTATTATTATTTTGTATATTATATAATATGTATTGTGTAGGTATTCTTTAACGATTAATAAAATACTTAAAATACAAAAAGTATCATAATTAGTATTGTTAAAGGGCTCGATTTGAGCCGATTTTTAAAAACGGCTAACTCAACATTATAGCCAGGAAAATATTGCCTGGTTCAATCCTATGTGCCATCTATGAACAAAATCTTTAGAATTGCTTAATATTTTTTTGGATAAAATATTGAATTCGCCGTTTTTAAAAATCAGCAATTGAGCCGTTTAACAACATTAATCGTAATGTATCAATAATTTTATATACCAGTACCGAATACATTTAGGAAAATGGTAATAAAATAGCCAACAAGTCTGGCAATACTAGTTGTTAGAAAAACCAATTCGGATCGATGATGACTATTAAGATTTTAACCTTAATTATATTATGCAACTTCGAGATTTAGCGATTTCTGCCATCATTAAAAAAATCTCCATGCCAACATAATACTATTTTAGCTAAGATCGTAATTGGGTTGTTTTTAAAAATTAACCTTAGGATTTTTTAGCAATCTTAAGCAATACTCAATGAAAAGATATTGTAGAACTTTTATTAATTTAAATTATAAATTTTTTGGGACATTACTCAATTGTAAAATCCAAATAACTTTAAAATTTAATTTAAAATTTATTAAAATCTTATTATTGAGCAATCCTATGTCCCCACTTTGAGGCCACTGCATGGATTTCATTTCAGAAATCATATTAAATATTATATATATCTTTCTCGAGGAACATATTAACAAAGATTTTTATTTTCTATTCAGAGATTGGCATAAATTGACATTCTCGAAAGGCTTCTCTTTAACTTATGAATCAAAAATTTCTATTTTATAAATTAAATTTTCAAATAATTATTAAAATGTAAACAATGTATATGGAATGTGTTATACAAAATATGACATTAGACAATAATTCCAATAATAGTTCTCATATAATATCGGAACCAACTTATTCATGTCTGAATGATCATTATGAATCAACAACTGATGAATCTTCAAGAGATTCTTTTTTGGCCAAAAATGATTTTAATACAGAAAATGATAATGATTCTATAATTAAATCACAAGAATTATTAAACTGCCATACAGTTGAGAGTACTCCAAATAATATAAAACCAATTCATACAAAAGTTTCGAATATTATATCTAATTCAAATTCCTGTGTAAATTTACAACCATTTCTTCATCAAGTTGGTGGTCATTTATGTATGCTCAAATTTGATAGTGAAACTATTTGTAAACCATTGCAAGGAAAAGAAAGGGATTTTTATAAATATCTAGTCCCTCCTATTTTAAAACATTTTGTTGCAAAATATTACGGTATATATTTTATATAAAAAAAGTTTTATTTTTTTATTATAAATTGTTTAATTTTTATAAATTATATCAATAATGCTTATATTTATTCAGGTCTAGTTGAAGTTTCCTTAGAAATAGATAAAGAAGGATATATAAATTTGGTAGCTCCTAAGATTCACTATTTAAAACCTTTTACCTCAAACAACATAAATAATGAAGATAACATTGAACAAAATATAGCAGTTAAAAGGCATAAAAATGGAATTAAAAATTTTGATCGGTATATATGTTTAAACATCAAATAATTTACCCAATAAAATTTATTTTTAAGCTGGTCTTCAATTAAAGTAAAAATGAGATGTTCAGGAAGTATGGAAGTATTGGATCCCCTTGAATTGAACTTATTTGAGAAGGCAGATTTAACAAATCCATCAAAAAATAATGATAACATTTCTTCCAATAAAAGGAAACCCTATTCTTTTAATCCATGGAGCTTAAAACGGCATAAAGAGCAAATTTTATCTATGCAAAAAGAGAATCAAATCACATACAGTAATCATAAATAATCTATGATCATATTGTAATACTTAAATTGTAAATAATAAAATTGGTTTTATACTTTAAATATTCTCTTTAAGTTTATAAAAATTAAATGCTTAAAAATTCAAAGTAAACTCAAATATCATTGAATACCAGAGACCTGTAGACTTGTGTTGTTAAAAAGCCCATTTTGGATTGATTTTTTAAAATGAAGATTTTATCTAAAATAATATTATATAGAGATTGAGATTTGGCAAATAGATGTTCAAGCAGTTCTTCCAGCTATGAGCAAAATCGTTAGGCTTACATTATATTATTTAGGTTATAATCTTAATCAGGCCATTTTTTTAAATTGACCTGAATCAGGCTTTCTAACAACACTACTATAGGCAACAATTTTTTAGATTCAGCCCTTTTTATTTATTTAAATAGGAAATTTAAAAAATAAAAACTAAATGAGGAAAAAACTAACAGCACTTTCTTATCATATCAGTTGAAGGTTTTTCAGCAATTCATTGCTCGAAATATGTTAATAAAATTTTATTTATGAAATTTTTATCATTTTATTGTATTGAAAAAAAAAATCGAAGTATTGGCTGATACCATGAGTATCAAGTCTCATAAAAATATTCTCTGATTTTGGATGTATTTTGTAAATTGCTTCATAAGGAAATTAAAAATATGAACAGGAAAGTAATGCTAAGTGATGGTTGGTCTTATGTCTGATTAATTTCCAAATTGTTCTGAAAATGAACATTAAAATACTTGCTTGACTCTTTAGACTCACTCAAATTGCATTCATTGAAAAACATAGCTTTTTATATGTCCATTTTGGACTTTAATTTGTAAGAATATATTTTTCATTGAAACTATTATTTCTAGAAAACAAAGATGCTCCAATACATTTATATAGTTAAAGATGCCACCTGGAATCACTCGATAATTTATTTTTCTATATAAAGTGGGATTAAAACGATTATTCAAAAATTTTTATCATTATATACTATAATAACTCAACTTTATGAATGTTTAACTGAAGGAAATTTTTTATTTAAAATTAAACAAGTATCTGTAATAAGGAGTAGGATTAAAAGGTTAGATATGGGTTAGGTATATTTATAGATTTAAGCAATATGGGTTATGGTTAAGATTGGTTTTTAATAAAATTTAATCATTATTAATAAGCTGTCAAATCTGACAGTTGTTTTTCGTCAAATAGAGAATTATGATTTGCCCGCTTTCAATGATTTTTACAATAATTTATTAGATATATATATATATTTTTTTTTAAAAAATCAAATTTAATAAGGGAATATTTTCAGGACTGACTAGAGTTTATGAGAGAAAAAAGTTAATATTTTTTAAAAAAAAATTAGAATTGTTTATTTATAATCACATGCAAGTTATTTGGTTAATGATTAAATTTTATTTGAAATCATTTTCACTATATCTTAACCCTAACTCATATCCCTCAAACCTTTAATTAAACCTAACCTATATCGCTTAGGCAGGGATTCCCTATGGAGGAAGGGTAATTGAATTTATTTATAAAAAAATTATTCTAGGTATTATTTAAGAATATCTTAAATGCCAATTTATTAAGACTAGTGACTAGTGTTGTTCTCGATTTGAGTTGATATTTAAAGACGGCTAAATATTTTATTCAAAAAAATATAACGCAAGCCTGAAGATTTTGTCCATAAATCCCACAAAGGTTTGGATATTTATTAGCGAAATTAGAGGTCTGCATTGGACAGGTTTTTAGCCAAAAGCCCGCCCACTCTTTGTCTTAAATTTTTTTTAATTCGCTCGATCACCCATTTATAAATTTAAAAAATTTTTACCCGCCCTACCGTCCATTTATCTATACATTTTGTTTAACGCACCCGCCCGCCTAATGCTCAAAAATTATTTTAATGGCTGGTTCGGCTCTTTACTTTTATTTAAATATATTTTTAATTAAACATATATAATATTATGAAATGAAACTATTATTTTTAATAAATTGAAGTCTGTTCTACTCATTTCGCCTGAAAAATTTTAAAAATTTACCCGCCCCTTCCCGCTCATTACTTTAAAATTTAATTTAATCCGCCCGCTACCCGTCCATTGTTAAAAATATTTAAAAAAATTCGACCACATCCGCCAGAAATATGGGCGGGCGAGCTAAAAATCCGCCCAATGCAGACCTCTAAGCGAAATCTCAAGTCTTAGGCAATATTTATCTGGCTAAAGTCTTCCTTTTTTAAATATCGGCTCAAATCGAGCCATTTTACAACACTACTCTTGGTCGTGACCATAAAATATTAACAATTTCTAATACGCAAATTCAAATATAAATTAATTATAAAATATTAAATATATATAATCGGCGAATGAATTGAATGCGTCTCGAAAAAGAACTTTGTAAAAATGTATAAATATTTTAGGCATATATATAATTTGATATATATACATTTAAATTATATTTTGAAAAAAATATTGAAAATATAGATTAATGCACAAAAATATTCTTAAGAATTATTGCCTAATACATAAATTTCCAAAATGTTAACGGGGAAAGAAATGATGTATCTAAATGTGGTAAAAAATATAATTAGGGCACATTACAAATCTATAAGGTAAAATTAAATATTCTTGGGATTGTGTTAATTTTTCAATGATTTCGTCAGTGCTTGGTGTTAAGTCTGTATATTAAGAAGTGGCTAACCCAATATATTATCCAGAAAAATATTACACAAGTCCGAAGATTTTGCTCATAGATGGCACAAAGGTTTGTATTGTGAATCCTATTATGGAAAACACTTATATCAAATATGATAACCAAATTTTTTATCAGACAACTTATTTCAATAAATTTTTTTAACAGAATAAATCTATATCTAAGAAATTTATCTCTCACTCATTTGATTATTATATCCATTATAATTATTGTATTCTCTGCACGTTTTCTTCTGACTTAATCATTTCCATTAGCCACTTTTCTCCATGACAATCACAACTTCGTCTACCGTAATTGATTACTTGCTCATCTCTAGTACCTATTTCTCTTTTATCGATGATATTTTCCTTTTCATCTACGACTTTAATAACGATAATATTTTTTCTAATACCTTAATGATATTTTCATTCTAAATTTTAAGAAATGGATAAAATTAAAATAGAAAAGAAATTGGAATAAAAAAAGGGAATTAAAAAAGAAAAGGAAGAATGAGAATTAAAAAACATTAATGTAAATGAAAGAATGATAGGTGAAATGTTAAATTTAAAGTGGAAAATTTGGAATGAAAATATCATTAGGGATAGAAAAAATGTTAAGGTTAATAAAACTGTAGATGAAAAGGAATATATCATCGATTAAAATTTTATTATATTATTTTCTCAATCATCTTATAAAGCTAAACACGAATATTAATATAATTTAAATAACGTTTTTTTGATAGGGAGCGCATAGTTTAGTCATGCCCATAAAAGAGTTGTCATTAAGAAAAGTATGGGATAGATAATGGGAATGATTTATCAGACGTGCGAATAATAGAGAATACAATAATTATAATGGATATAATAATCAAGTAAGCTGTCAAATGAGTGAGAGAAAATTGGGCGAGAGATAGATTTCTTAGATATAGATTTATTCAGTTTGGCTACCATATTTGATATAAGGGTTTACCACAATAAGAATTTATAATTCACAATAGTTTGGACATCTATTAGTGAAATCTCGAGGCTTAGTCAATATTTTTCTGATTTTTAAAAATTGGCTCAAATCGAGTCATTTAACAACACTATTTCTAACGTATTTTTTTTTATTCTTGTTAAAGAATGAAATGTTCTTTCATTGGTAGAAAAATATATAAAAATTTTATTCATTAAGAAAATAGTCTTAAATGTGTTGTAAATTATTCGAAGCATCTATGGCATTTTTTGGAACATTATCAACCATATTTAACCTTTTATACCATCTAACAAAAATATTAGCCAACTATTTAATTTTTTCTCTAACAAGAGTTGAAATACATTCAGAGGGAGTTGGCGATAATAATATTTGCAGATTTTTAATTGCTAACTGATTAGAACCTTTCATTCAGTTGTAAAAGTATCCAAGAGGGAGTAAAGAGATTTATTCTATGGTATTCTTCAACTGACTTTATTTAATATTGGAACGATGAACTTGCCTTGTTGCGAGTCGAGGTAGACAAATACTAAAATCATAGAGCTCTGCTTTTGACTCAACTGACATAATTTATGAAATTCGTCTTATACATTTGCCCTATTCCTTAATTCAATATAATTCTTTCAGCTATTCTCATAGGCTCATCGAGGTCATTTTGAAATATTTTACTGTAGTTTTGCAGTGAAAAAGTTTCAAATGATTTGGTAGGAAATTTTAAAATGGTAGATAAATATAACGTCAAGGAAAATTTGAAATCGATATTAATTCATAGAACAAATTAGTACTGTATTTATTTCTAAATGTATAAATAAATATAAATTGGAATATATATGTAATAAGATGTAATCACTAATATTTTAGCCGGCATCGGATTTTTTGGCTTTAGGGGAGGGGCTGCTTACGCACCTGGATATCTCTTAATACTTGTAATTTTAAATATATTCCATCCATTAAAAAATTTCCTTCAGTTGGACATTCCTCGAGTTGAACTATTATTAAAAAGACGCAGACATGAACACGAGAACAATGTTAAAATCAAGTTATGCACGGTGGGCGAGCATATTATTTTTCCAAAAAAAGAAACACAAAACACCGATAATGTTTTTGTTTTAAACTTTTAATAATATGTAGGAGGAATAAAACAAATTTTTTTTTAAACTAAAATCTTGATTTTGTAGTTTTTAACAACACTAGTAATGGTACATCTTTACTATCTAAAGAGACTGATTTTTTGGATTCAGAGTAGTGATGCAAAATCGCTACATTTGAGTCGATTTTAAAAACGGCTATCTCAATATTTTTAAAAATATTGAGATAATATTACGCAAACCTGAAGATTTCACTTACAGATGGCTCAACGGTTTGGACATCTATTAGCGAAATCTCGAGGTTTAGACAATATTTTTCTGGCTAAAATATTGAGTTAACTGTTTTTGAAAATCGAGCCGTTTAACAACATAAAGAGTTATATCTATATATTTTTTTAAATTTCGATTGTATAGAATTTATTAGGCTACAAGATTTAACCTGCCAATATTCTTACCCATGTGTGTTAGATTTAAAAATGGGGACTCGTCAATATGGAGACGATGCTTCTGAACAGAAAAAAATTTCGCAAATAGCCAAATGCGAATCCAGTACCTCATCTAGTCTAGGTGTTCGAATATGTGGCATGCAGGTCAATAAATTTTTTAAATTTAAATAATTCAAAATCTTTATTTTTTAAAAAATACCCTCTTACATAAACCTTTCCTTTCCTTAATACCCGCTTTTTCCGTGGATCTTTATGTCAACATTTTTATAAAATTTTATATTGAAATTTTTAATTAGGTTTACCAACCCCAAACCGAAACCTTCTTTTGCTACGACAAATATATAGGCCGTAAATTGAGCGTCGAAGGGTTCGAAGAATCCTTGAAGTTATTCTTTCAAACCGCTCTCACTATTCGCGATAACACATTCACAAACCCGGACAAAAACAATAACAATCTCATTCCACTAGGTATTAACGATCATCAGCACACAATAGACATTTTGGGCAGCGTGCTGCGGCAATTAATTTTGCTCAGGGACGCTATAGCGTCTCTGAATTCTTACCGATTTTACTCTAGTTCATTGCTCATTCTTTACGAAGGAGACCCTTGTTTAACCAACGGCAAATTTCACTCTCAAGCCGACATGAATAATAATTTCACCTTAAACGGAAATTCGAACCATATAGAGCACCACCCTTCAACCAAATACGCCAGGATTAACATGGTAGATTTTGCTCATTCTTCTTCTTGTCACAAGGATGGTCGCGACAAAGGTTACTTGTTTGGCCTCGATAATTTGATCAAAATAATAAAAAGGATTCAATAATCCCCCCATTTAAATGCAAATTTTTTTTCTCTCTATAGCATTTCCCCCGCTAAATGTGATTAGAATAATCCAGACAAACAAAAAAATCATACTATTAGATGAATTGTTAAAATTCCCCGTTCTTACCTTTATGTTAATATTTTTAAATAAAAATTTCCGGCATTATTTATTTATAATTAGTTTAAAATAATAAATCTTTGTTTTCTTTTATTCATTATCATTAAACTTCTCTTTTTTGTAAACATTTATTTATAATTTAAACATTTCATTTTAATTTTATGTTATGAATAGCAAAAAAAGGTAACATAATTTGATTTGAATGTTTGTGCCTTCATTCCTTCCTTTTTTTTAGTGAAAGGGGATGGATGAAATGCTTGAAGGTAGAATATAAAAATAACAAAATTTATTTATAAAATCATAATAAAATAAATTACGTGTAATATAATAATATATTAATTTTTTTTTTATTAGAATGTTTTGTCCAATATTTTTAATTAATAATATTCAATTTTAATTTTGTAAAGAAATTTATAATGTTTTTAATAGAATTATTGTTAAAAAAATTTACCCCCCCCCCTCTAACACCCTTTATTTAAATTTTATTTTGCAAAAACCAATCCATTTTTAGAATAAATTGTATTTTATTATTTTTTCAGAATGCTCTTATATTTTGATCCTCTTGAATTTTTTGAAATATAAAAAAATTTGGAATTTTATTTTTTGTTTTATAAAGTTAATTTCAATTGTTGGCATTACTTACCTATCTCTTATTTTAAGACAATAACATTTCACACTCTTGACCAAATTATGCATTCATAAATGTAATGATATAATATTATACTTTATAAATATAAAATATTACAATAAATTTAAGTCTTAAAAATTTTCTTCTATTATAATCTATTTAAAAAAGATATTTTACTTAGCCAATTATTCGTTCATTATAATTGAATGATTGTGTTAAACATGAAACACGCATGGCTATTATTTATATGGATTGATACATAATAAAATCATACAATCTCAGACTTTAAATTGTAAATGTACGTTTTATTGAATGAAATATAAATGATATGACAGTTTAACAAGTTGGCAGATCATCATATAATATTATAATGCCTTTAAAAATACATCATTTAAATTATATAAACTTGCTACGAGTCATAAGTGTTTATAATTATTATAAAATTGTAATAGGCCATAGGATAATTTAAAATATAAAATTCCGGGAAAATGAAATTTTAGATAATAAATTTAATATATTTTGTCATAAAGCCAATTTCATATACATATTCGCGAATTTCAAAACTCCCTTTTTATTATTATCTAAAACGTGATTTTTATTTATAAATCGATATTTAAAAAAAATAATTATTTATAAATTACGAATATTTTTAAATATACTATAATGTTTTTACACCTTGTTTTCTTCGATCCAATCTAAAAATCTATTAATGTCGGTAAAGACCCCTGGATTGTTTGGCTCACCACACCCATAGCCCCAACTAGTTATTCCATAAACTTCCCATTTGTTTGTGTAACACATTAATGGTCCTCCTGAATCTCCCTAAATTTTATTATTTTGGAGAAAAGTTAATTTAATGAATTCCAAAAATGGTAACTATCATGACACAAGTAATTTATTTAAAAAAAATTATAATCTTTAATAGATAATAATATTTTTAAAAAATCCTTCTTTTGATCAAAGGTTTTTTTAAAAAAAAACTCTTATTAGTACTAATCTATTTTTGATGCGACTATCCAAAAAACAACTAGGGACAGTTGCATTAAAGGTAGAATTAAGTTCTAACGAAATGTTTAAAAACACGGTTTTGAACAAAGCCTTAAAAAAAATAAAAAGAATAACTCACATTGAGAACATTTTATAGTTAAAATTTACCTCACAAGTGTCTATCACTCCTCGTTTGATATCCCCAGCGCATATCATATTTTTTGTCAAATCATTACCATATATATCTTCACAGTCTTTCCAGGGTATGAGCGGCAAACATACTTGTTTTAAATATCGAGACTGACCGCTGTTTCCTTTATCGAAAAAAGAATTATTTAGATCAATCATTCATGAAACTGAGTCCTTGTCTTATTTCGAAACAGAAATCTGTTTAGCAGTCTATATATTCTTCCTCTAAACATAATAAAAAATGAAAGAAACTACTATTTAGAATAGGGTGTCCTAGTTCAAAATTTGAATAGACTGATCTAAATCGAAATAAGTTTCAAAAATAAGTAGGAACCAGGATACTAATTAAATAGTATGTAACAGATTTCAAACCATTGCATTCGTTTTGAACCGAAAACTAAGTATTCATGGTTAATAAATTTTATATTGTATTATTTACAATGTTGTTGATGAAAGATTCAAAATGTAAGAGTTTGACTAGTCAATGCTCATCAATTTATTCTCTGATCTTAAGTAGCGGTTCCCATCAAGCAGTAAATTAATTTTATATGGGAAAAAACGCCTAGAATTATTTAATTATTTTTATCCGGATAACAGATTTTTTAAAAATTTTGTATTGAAGATACAAGACGCTTAGCAAATATTTAGATAAGATACAATCTTTTATCTTATTGAAAGTATCGGATTATACTAAAAGTATTGAAGTTACAAGATGCTTTTTTTAAACTTTAAATAGTCAAAATCAAAAGTAACAAGTTTAATTTTTTAAATAAAATATATAATATAAATTTATAAAAAATATGTAAATAAATTGTAGAAAATTGACAAATTTGTTATATAAGATGATGTGATATAAAGATATTTTTTATAAAAGCTATATTATAATAATGAAAATAATATCAGAATAAAAAATTAATTAGTAAATATAAATAAATCAAAGTTATTTTTTAATATTTACTAATTAATTTTTCAAACAATTTGTCGTTTAGTTTTTGATAATTTGGTCTATTAACCATATTAACTAAGCTGAATAATCGTTCAACAGGGGCAGAGGATGGAAATATTCTGTTAAATCTGATAAATATTTCTTTTATATTTTATAACTATACATATTTATAATACGCCTGTCGTCTTTTATATAATTTCAGACTTCCAGGCGGGTACGCAGGAATTTGGTCTGGGTGGAATAATAAATTTTTTATTGTTATTTTAAAATATCAAACATAAATTTATAAAGACTAAACTATTTCTAATACACAATTTTAAATTATATGAATTATAAAAAAATTATATATATAAACCGGCACATAAAAAACTATAAAATAAATGTGAATTAAAAAATATAAAGTGAATATAACCACCATATGAATCACTTAAATGACCCAAAATAAAAATTTGAATTTTTTGAGCCTTTAAAATTTATATATAAAGTAAAAAAATTTAATGTTGGAAATATAAATATTAATACACAAAAAGTTTCTTAGAAATAATTGTATTATATTTACAATGTAAAATCCAATCTTCGTTGGGATTGAGCTAATTTTTCAATTACATCCTTGCTTGGCGTCAAATGCTTATAAATATTTAAAAGATCCAAACCATTCAATCCACTTTCAGAAGTTGTACTTCTTAGGTATGTTTTCAGAGAACTGCAGGCCCGGTTCCCGGGTCGGACCGTATTTTAAATTTTTAAATACACCCGGGCAGAGCCCAAAATTTTTTTTAAAAAAAACACCCGGGCCGGGCCTGATTTTTTAAAAAAAACACCCGGGCCGGGCCTGATTTTTTTAAAAAAACAATTATCCGGGATCGGCTATATATTTTAAAACTAAATATTTGAAATTAGCTATAAAAATTAAAAATAAATATAATTTCTTTAAAAAAAAAACCCGGGCCGGGCTGAAAAAAAACTTTGAAAAAAAATCCAGACCGTGCCCTGCAAATTGTATCTCTGCAGGGCTCTTTTATTCTTCTTAAAAAAGAGAATCTTCTCTCATTAGTTTACTAATGGGAAGAGTTTCTAATTTATATAATATATATAATCATTTTAATACATTGGGAATAAAATCTAAAATGTGTTTGAAATTATACAAAGCATCCATAGCATTTTCTGGGACTATATCTTAGTTAATCTTTTAAACATAGTTATTCAGCTAATAAGGCAACAAACAAATATTATTTTTTTTCTATCACCATCTGAAAAAGATTGGGAAGGCTTTTGTGGAAGTAATATCTGCAGATTGGTAAGGCTGCATGATGAATTAAAAACCATTCATTTATTTGGATTATAGTTTTATAATACTTTTCTACTTATCTTATACTAATGTTTTGACGATGAGCTTACCTAGCTGCAAATCGAGTGAGACAAATATTAAACACGTATAGCTCTCTTTTTGACTCAACGATAACATATAAAATTGAAATTCTTCATCAACATTAGCCCTAATTTTCTTGAGTTCGAATAAAATGCTCTCCGCTATTCTCATCTTCTTAATCAAGTCAATGTCATGTTTTTGAAAAGTATTACATAAAATAGTTGTATAATTAAATAATACATTCTAATGAAAAAAAAATTGAAATAAGTATTGAATCCAATAATTTTCTTGCTTCTGAGGAAATATTTCTTTCAGGCCATTGTGATATTTCAGTAATAGCATTAATAATCGGTTCTTCTAACTCCATAAAAGCTGTTACTGCTTGATGGCGGAGACTCCATCTCGTTGGACAAGCTGCACTTTCTTTCTCCCTGTTGGACAAGGAGTTTCAGAAAATTATTATTTGACTAAAAATATGAAAATGGTAGATAAATATTACGCCACTAGAAATTTGAAAATAATAGGTAAATATTACGCCAATGAAAACTTGAAATCGAAATTAATTGATAAATAACTTAATAGATGAATGCGATAAATAAATGTAATTAAATATATATTTAATATAAGATAGGAATAAATATTAACAAATATAAATTAATATAAACATTAATATTTTTGAAAAATATATCCGACATCTGCATTTTTTGGCTTGGGGTGGGGGGGGGGACCCCGCTGCGTACGCCAATGCAGACTTCTAATTCAATATTATTTAATGAATTATTTGAATTTGTTTTAAAACAAAAGTAAAATGTCTTCATCAATTAAGGAATTTTCTGGCATATTAATTTACATATTATTTTTTAAAAGCTTGGTGTATTAATAAATCCTGATGGTATATTCTTATCTTTTTCAATAATAATCCAACAATTTTACGAAAGATTACGATTTTAAGGCACTTATAAATTTGTGGGATTCTTTACATTCTACAGTAATTAGATGATTGGTAAGTTCATATTGGGTGACTTCAAAAAATTTTCCACTTCATAAGCTTAATTTTTATTTATAATTATATTCTTCTAGTTTAAGTTTCACACTTTTCGATTTTATGATAATATCTTCTATAACTTGGTCTATAATTTTAATATTCTTACTATTGACGAAGTAGATAATGATGTATGGCGATTTTAATGATATATGTTAGTTGTTTATCAATTTTCTATATGATGACTAACCTCATGTATCATTACTCTCTTAAAATATCTTAACTCGGATTACATTTTTCATTTAGATTTTAAAATTAATATCATTTTAAATTTTAATACTATTTAAATAAAAACGAATATAATTTTTTTTGAGTATCTGTATCTTTATGAACGCAAAGTTGATTAAGAAACAGATATTTTAAAATAATTTGGGATGAAATATATTTTCGAAAAGTTTAGAAAAGATACAAGATAATCCGCGATTGCTCAACCTTTTTAAGATAACCCATATCCCCAAATCCTTTAATTAAACCTAACCTATAAACCTTCAATCCTATTCCTGAGACTTTTAATTTTAAATACATTTTATCCAATTAAGATCTCCTTCAGTTGAATATTCCTTAAAATATTTTCATATAGGTATATTGTTTTGATAAAAATTAGCGATTTAAAAATAACTCCACTAGATATTTAATTGAATTTTAAGAATTAATAAATATTTTTATTCACATATAAAACGATAATTATATTCTTATCATTTATGCAAGTCAGCGATATTTGCCTTGCAAAAAAAATTAATTATATTAAAAATTTGATCCGTTTTATAAATATAGATTTTTTTATATAGGGATGATATAATCATTATAAAATTAATAAGAATGAATGAGCAAATTCACTATTTATTTTGTGAACGTGTCATTAAATATGTATAAAATAGATAGATTTTAGACTTAACCATCATTGAAATCATTGCAAGGTTCACTGGATATTTCCTAAGACCAGCATCGTCACTGTCAAAGATGTAGAAACTGCGTTTTTTTTATTAAAAAAACAATTCTCGTTTTTTTTGACATACCTAAAATTTTCAATTTGCTGTCATTATTATATTAAATATCAAATAATAAAATTTTAAATGTATTTGAGTAATCATCAACGGACCGGGGCAAATATAAAATGTTATAACCTTTCTTTTAATTATTATTACCGATTCTTAGAAATTTTTAAAATTTCCTAGAATTATGTTTAGGACATGTTTTTATTTTTATATTTAATATGGAAAGAATGTATTTTTTCTAGTGCTGTGAAGTAACGTCAAAAAAGTAACGCCATTCGTTACCTTTTTCTTGAGGTAACGAGTAACGGTAACGCGTTTCTTTTTTTTTGAGTAACGGTAACGCAAAACATTACTCGTTACTTTATATTTTTTCTATATTTTTTCTTAAAAATATAACAAGAAAAATATATTCTATATTATAAAATTAGTTTTATTTATTTTTTAATTCTTAATATTAATAATGTAAGCTGTTTAATTCATATCAACCACTTCCTTCATTTTTATTTTAAATTCTCGTTAAATTTTCCGTCGAAATTAATAATCACAAAATTCAAAGTAAATGTTAATAATGATATTATTATTCTTATAATTTATTTTAAGAATATTATGTCCATAGTACTTACTTCTTCAGATGAAGATGATCTAACCCATCCTTGGCCCCAATTTGACATATTTTAAACCAATAAAGAAAATTAATGGAAGTCTACACTTTGTAAATGTAAATTATATCCCAACGCAAATATTTCAACATCAATATCCAGCAGTTCAAACTTAAAAAGCATAGGTAAAAAGATGAATTAATATATCCTTATTTTAAACATTACTTTAGAGAATTTCATTTTAGATTTTATTTATTATTAAAATACTATATATAACATCCCATTATTTAACCAGCTGTGTTGAGCACTAAGCGCTCTTGTTTGTCTGATCAAAATTTTGAAATCAATTGTTGCTAAAAATAAATAAAAAATTGATACATAAAGATGTTATCTTATAATATATTATTTTTGTATAATTTTATTTTATTATATTTTGTCGGAAAAAAATAAATATAATTTTTGTATATATTTAATTTTTTTAAGTAACGAGTAGCCCGTTACTTTTTGAAAAGGTAACGAGTAACGGTAACGCGTTCCTTTTTTTAGCTGTAACGAGTAACGGTAACGCGTTTCTTTTTTGTAGTAACGTTTACAGCACTAATTTTTTCCCGTTAAAGTTTCGAAAGTCTACAAATTATATTTTTGATATTTAGGATAGAGCCTAAAAATAAATAATATTTAAAAAAAAATTAATTCGGCAAACGATTATTTTTTGTTTAGAAAATAACAAAAATAAATTCCTAAAAACATGCCCTAAAAAAATTCTCTCTGGAAATGGCTTTACAAATGATTAGGAAAATTATATGGGTTTTATGACTTTTATATACATTTTTTTAAAGTATTTCAGGCATTTAGAAGGTTTTTAAGAGATCATGTTCGGGTTAAAAATTGAAAAAAATTGGATTTTTTTTTGATATTCCGGTAATTTGGAGGGCTTTTAAGAGATTATGTCAGGGTTAAAAATTGAAATTATGTATGTTTTTTTATAAGGTTCTATTTGCACGGCCCGGCCTGGATTTAAAAAAATTTCGACCCGGCCCGGGTTTTATATTTTCAGGCCCGGCTCGGATTTTTTAAAAATATATTTTTATTTTTAATTATTATAGTTAATAATGACGATTTTAAATATTTTGTCTTAAAATATACGGCCCAGCTCGTGATTTTTTTAAAAATAAATCAGGTCCGGCTCTTACCGAGCAATCGCAAATTTTTTTAGGACCAACCCACGTATATTTAAATAAATTAAAAAACCGCCTGGGCCGTGCTTAGGAGGCTTGCAGGTCTCTGATGTATACTATTGTTTTTTTTGATATTCCAGGGATTTAGAAGGTTTTTACGAGATTATGTTAAATTGAAAAAAAAAACAATTTAATTTTAAATTTTTATAAAATTTTAATAAATAAATTTGTAAAATGATAAAGAAAAATTCAAAAAGATATTATTGATAAATCATATTCTTACCCGTTCCCATTAAATACTAAGGGGGCGGAGGGAATATATTATATATTGAAAGTTATGTTGAAAAAAATCTAAACAAAGAACAACATTTTTATTATTTAAAAAATATGTTATTTACTGCCCACTTTTCATTTTATAGGACACACTAAAAAAAAGAAGTGTAGGGTGCCCTAGTTCATATTCTTAATAGAATGGTCTAACTCGTACACCGCCTAGTTGTTTATTTTTTTTTTCCTTATAAAAAATATAAATATATTAACTAACTATAAGTCGATCCCCAACCACTGGAATAACATTTTTTTATTTCATCGATGTCTTTAGAAGGTAAACATATGGGTTGAATATTATCGGAAAAATCTGCCGAATCCTTGAGGACTATTATAGCGATGTCATTGTCGGCATTTATAACGTTAAAATCTCGATGAATTATAATTTTATCAATATTGTAAAGATCATTTTCATGAATATTTTCAATGTCATGAACTCCTAATCCGATCAGAAAATCTATGGAATTTCTAAAAAAAAGTATAATTATAATGTAATTGCATTTAAACCGGAAAAGAAAAAGTAGGTATCAAAATTGTTTAATTTAAAAATAAAATAATGTACATTACTCGGAATTAACACAATGTGCGGCAGTTATTATGGTTTTAGGCGATATTAAAAAGCCTCCACATTCAACTTTATCAGCATCTTCATTTAGAATAACAGCCTTAATTTACATTAAATAAAGTAATGTTAAATATATATATCAGAAATCGGCGGGTAACCAGATCTGGATAAAATAACGAAAACTTAAAAGACCCAATGATGCAATTCGGAATGGGCATAAAAAAATTTACCTAAAAAATTTTCTTACAAATTATTTTAGCGCTAATTGCTAATTTAAGGTTTCCAAATAAAATTTGATATTTATTTATATATTTTACTAATTAAAGAAATTTTATATTACCATCCAAGGCCATGAATGTGATCTAGCGTCGGTTCCGCCATATATATATTTAAGTTTTCCGCAGCCTATGGGTTTCTTCGAGGTTTTCCCGCACTGAAAAGCATGTGTCCATGATTTATAGGTCATTAGAAAATAGATGAAAAAATTCAAATTCATTTCGATTTTAGACAGAAATTTTTTATCTGATTTCAAAATGCAGTAATTTATGTTTAAAATTTTTAATCTGGTTTAAAATAAATAATAAAAAAATATCAGACGATTTATATTTTTAAAATTTTTTTTAAATCAACACTATATACGCAGACGATGTTAAAAGGGTATCATATTTAAAATTTACCAAATTCAATAAATGTTGGAAGAACAAAGTTTACCTCCAGAAATTGCTTCTAAATTTGATGAGGAATTCGAGGTAACCCTTTAAAATAGTATTAAATTTCCTAAATTTTATTTGAAATAGGATGATTATATTCAAGATATTGATATGTTGCAAAATTTCGGAATAGTTAAGTTTTCAATTTTATTGATATTTTTTAAATATTTATTTCGTCACCTTTTATTTCCAGAATTCATTAGATATCAAAAAGCTTAAATCTTCAGGAATATGCACAATAAAAGTATAAATTACATTTGTCAATACTATAATATATCCATCATTCATCTAGGGTGTGCAAATGATGACAAAGAAGAGATTATGTGCTATTAAGGGTCTGTCCGAAGCTAAAGTCGATAAAATAAAAGAATGCATAACCAAAATCGTAGTAATAACTCTAATGGATTAATATATACTGAAGTAGTCTACAATGGATGGGTTCATAATTCTAACTCATGACCATTATTTAAATTTTTTTTTAACCAGTCCGACCAATTACGCCCACCCAATGTTAAAAATTATTTGAATATTTTTAAATTCACTATTTAAAATTCCCAGCTAATTTATCCCGCTAATTTGTCGACTTCTAATATATATGCTTTATTGAATTATTATTTCTTAACAGACTTCCAATTTTTTAACGGCATTGGAGGTATGCCAAAAACGTCAACATGTATTTCAAATTTCAACGGGGAGCACAGAATTGGAGTATATAATATATTTTTGCATTAAAATTCGCGACATTAAAAGATGTCAGTTCCGGTGTCTAAAAATTTTAAAGGGATATATTGGGTTCTTTTATACACTTTGTGGGTCTGGCTCCGAGGGTTTCAGTGTCACCAGTTTTTTTAAATCTAAAAAATAAATGTGTATCTGTTTTGTTCAAGCAAACTTTTAGGTGGCGGTATTGAGAGCATGGCAATCACCGAAGTTTTCGGAGAATTTCGAACTGGCAAAACACAATTATCGCACACACTTTGTGGTAAATATTTTACGTTCACAGATTTTATTTTTTGTAAGCAATAAAGTATTAAGATATAGCAACTAATGACATTATAATGCTTAACAAAGAATGATGGATTCATTCATTTAAATGCATTTTAAAACGTCGTTAAATCAGCTGTCGCCATTTTGATTTCCTAATATAAGAATTTGTATAAATAAATGAATTATTTTTTATTTTAAGTTTTCATAAAATATAATAATAATAATGTATTTATATATGGGAAACTAGAATGGCGTTACCAGCTGATAAGTCATTTGCATTGATAAAATGAAATTCACAATTTAATTAAAAAAATTTATTTTGGAAAATAAAAGTTACAGCTCAATTACCCGGTTCCAATAATTACACGGGTGGAAAAGTTTGCTTCATTGACACCGAAAATACATTGTAAAAAAACAGCCATTATTTTTTTTAAAAAAACAAACTTTGCCTCAATTTATAGTAAACGCAAAATACCGCGATGCCGCTCACGTGACACGCAATTCATCGCTAAGATAGCATAGCTCTCTAATTTAACACGATTTATTTAGTTCTCGTTTATAGTCACGGCGATATCGCTTTAAGCATCGTTCGAGCAACATGGCGGTATTTCGCACTTACTCTAAACGAGGCCTTAATAGTAATTTGTGCCGAGCGATGCGATATTGCGCTCCTTTCGCGCTTATTATAAAGAAGACCTTTAATTTAACAATTTATGCTATTTAGTCGCCCAGATAGGTTAAAGGATATTGCTGAACGATTTAACCTCGACGAAGAAGCAATGCTAAAAAATATTATATACGCCAGGGCCTACACAAGTTTGGATTTATTTTTTTTTGTTTTTCTTTTCTATTTTTTGTTTCTCAATTCTTTTTTAAAATTTAATTAAATCGTATGTTAAAATTTTAAAATTTTCTAGAATTTAGGACATGTTTTTATTTTTATATTAAAAAATTCATTATAATAAAAGTTACAAAAGTTTCCAAATTTAATTTTTGATATTTAGGTCCAACCTATTGCAAACTTTTTATTATAAAATTTTTTATTTTTTTATGTTTGTTTAATTTACATATTTATACAGGCTAATTTTATGACTATCTGTTATAAAAAGTCTTGATTTTTGTTATTAAATTCTGAATAGAACATTCTTTAGTCTTAAAAAGAAATCACTTTATATATTCAGGGAGACAGATATTTTGAATTCTAAAAAAATAAAGAACTAGAGGATAAAAGCAGCCTAAGAATTCAATTTTAAATGGGGTTTTGAAACAAAATAATATATATAAATAAATAATATAAATCTGCCAAAAAAAGGTGAACATCAAAATGAACTACTCGACTTCGTAGCGGCTAAATTTCATGAAGAATCGGGCGTTTTTAAGTTATTAGTAAGTTTACTATTCCAATATAATACAATAAATAAAGGGTAATGATGTATAGCATTGAACATTGATTTTTTTTTAAAATGTGTTTTTTTATCAAAATATAGCTAGCGGTGAAAAAAAATGTTGTTTTTTCGAGTAGCATATATCACCTACTATACGGATCTTCGAATCCAGAGGGCTTTTTTTTTGTCTAAACTAGGTGGATATGCGCTATTATGATATATGAATATCGGAAGCTACCGCGTGATTTCATAAAATTTCATTTGGTCCTTTATCTAACAAAATTTTGTCGTTGTATATATATCATTACCCAAAAGATAAATTCTCTGAATTCAACTTGAAACACATTTAAGGTCATAAGAAAAATTCTTGCATATTCTCTGAATTCAACTTGAAAGAACACATTTAAGGTCATAAGAAAAATTCTTGCATCATAAATAGATTTTTTTTTTTTAAAAAGAGAAAATTTATGAGAAAAAATAATAAATTCTGGACATTTAATAGATAAATGGTTTAATAACTATAAATAAGGGATATTTATTTATTCTCTTCAAGATAATGGATTCGGTTATGGCATTATTTAGAGTAGATTTTAGTGGTAGGGGAGAGTTATCGGATCGACAACAGAAATTAGCTCAAATGTTATCAAGGTTACAAAAGATATCGGAAGAATACAATGTAGCTATATTCTTGACTAATCAAATGACGTCTGATCCCGGAGCTGCCTTATCGTAATATCTGTTAACATCAACGTGTTTTATTAAGCGCGTTTTCTTTTAAATTTTATAAAAAATCGGATTTTACCGTAAATGTATTCCAGCATGTTTAGAATATTTATTATACGAATTTCAGACAATGTTGCCCTGAACTTTTAAGTCATTAAAAACTTAAGTTCAAAATTTTCATTTCCAAATTTTCTAAAAATAGCAAAGTAAAGTTTTTATACACGTGCCGGAATATATTTCAAGCGAAATCATAACTTTTTCAATTTTTTTAAAAAAAAACGCGCTTCAAAAAATGATTTAAAAGTTGAAAAAATAACAACAATGACTGAAAAAACATAAATGACGCTAACAAATTTTTTGTTAATTTCAAAATAGTTATTTTATTTTTTAAAAATTTTTTTAAAAAAATAGCATTTCTCAATATAAACAAAATATATTTTTTTAAAAAAATATTTGAATTCAAGAGAAATGCTAAGTAATAGAGATAAATATCTTAATCATGGCCCTATTAGATTTAATATATTTGGTAGATTTTTTATCAATGATGATGCAATTAATTATTTACTATTTATACTTTATATAGATCATAGAAAAGTTTATTAATAACTTGAAAACATTTATATAAACCTTATTTTAGATAATTAATGAAATTAAAAATATTGAAAAAGATATTTTGTGGGGATTAATAATTATGATAATTTTGCATATCGAAAAATTAAAACATCAAATTTTTTTTATCACTAAATTTTAAAATAGGTCGATATTATTTTAATTTTTATAATATTATATTTCTTTGAATGTAATCTAATAGTATTTTAAAAGCTTCCTATATATATATTTTTTAAAAAATGTCTTCTCTCCCTAAATTTAAGGTTAGTCTTAGTCAAAACTCTTTTCCTTACTATTAATTTTAAGAAAATATTAAATTTGTTAAACTTTAATTATCCTTTTTTGTCTTTTCAATTTATTTATTTTATATATTTATTTATTTATTTCTTTCTTTCAAATTTATTTCAAAAGTTATCCATGAATCTAAAATATGCATAGTATATTTATATACTAAACCATTATTGTGGAGAGCTAAACTTCACAAACCTTAGAAAATACCTTCCCATAAGATAACTGATGTAATTGGTGACCTTTAAATAAAAATAAAAAAATATTCGTTTTCTACCAAAACAAATCATTATTCACTGGGTAAAAAATACCTGAAAAACATGCCTGTAAAATTTATTATGATTGATATACACCTACAAAAATAAGAAGTTATTTTTGTAAAATCAAAGTGAATATATTTAACTGGTTCAAAGATTCGCTTTACTAATCTTCATCTTTTCCAGATCAGTAACAATTAGAGACATGCATCGAACCTGTTTCCGTAGGCCCAGTCTACCCCGTCCAATATTAAATCCATCCGTTCCAATGTGTCAGTTTACCCCAAATTCAACAGGCTCGTACAAGGCTCTAATTTCAATATCCATGACGAACATTTAATAGAATCTATTTAATCTCTATAAAATTGCTTTTTTTATATTTTTTGGCTTAAAAATTTTAGACCAGTTTCAGACCTATAATCAAAATAAAATTTTGATCGGGCCAAAAAAAATTAATTCGAAAAATTGTATTTACAGAGCTCTCCTTCGATTAGAATTTCTTTATATGTATCACAGAAATAATATTTGTTCTTATTACTAAAAGTAATATTTTTCAATATATATATATTAAAATTATGTCCCCACAATTAGCTTATAGAAACGTATACGATATTCGATTCAAAAAAATTCGATTCGAATAATATAACAAAAATTGTTTGTACAATGATAATTTTAAATTATTGTCGATTAATAGTTTTAAATTATTCGTATTAATATAGGAAATTTTAATAAATCCTAACGCTGTGCAGATTAGAGTTAAAAGGTAAGAGCCCGTTAAGAATTTTGCATAAGTTGTCGAGCCCGTTTTATGCCCACCCGAAACGAAAAATCGACTTGTTAAAATTTTACTAAAATTCCGCCGCGTTAATATCTATATTATATCTAATTTTTCCCCACTGTTAATTAAGACTCTTATATCTCTCATCTATTGCTATCTATTTCTACAACAACCATCTATATTTGTTATTGAATCATTATAAATAATTTGTTTAATTTACAATATTTTTTTTTATATATTTAATATTTTAGTTAGACAGCTCTCTTAAAATACAAAGAAATTAAATTAATTTTCAAATAGTAACAAAATATTAGCTTGAAATTCAAAAAAATAAAATTTTAATACCCGCGGGGTATATTAAATTTTACGAAAAATCAAAGATTTGCAACACTGCCTTATTTTATTATATATATAAATGGTCAAGCCTGGCCTGAATTTATTTTACCTAACGGCCTGACCCGAAATTTTACTTACTCCGGTCTGCAGGCTGTTTGGGCCTTACAGATATCTAGTGCAGATATTAAATATCGGATCGTGGCCAATATTTATCTTTTTTTGTGAAATTTAAAAATCGGAATCAATATTTTTATTGTTTTGGGTTATATATAAAGGTCTACAAAGTGATTTTTTGCGGCCCGAGCCAGACTCGAATTATAAAAATTTTTTTGTCCGAGCCTGAATTCAGAATTTTTTCAACTCGAACCGACCCCGACAAATTTTTAAAAATTTGAGTGTGAATATAAAAATATCCAAAAACAATTTTAAATTATGTGTATTACGTTAAATAAAAGTTTATTGACCGCCATAATATAATCAATATTTATATTAAGTTGTATTTTATTTAAATTGGAAATTTATATTCAGTTTAAATATTAAAAAAGTTAAAATACAATCGAATTTAAAAATTCTAGCTATCATATAAAAATAATGGGATGATATAATGAACATTTTATAAAGATATATCTATCATAACATTATCAATAGTATCAGATAGTAAATAATTGTGATATAAAAATAATGTGCATGATATAATGAACATTTTATAAAGATATATCTATCATAACATTATCACAGATAGTAAATAATTTTGATATGAGGAGTCGAGCAGCCTTTAAACCTTAAAGGCTCTACCAACCGCTGAAAGTGCTCTTTCACTACTAGCCGAGTGTTGTAATTATGAGTATATGAAGAATAGGGGTGTACCGATACCACTTTTTGGAGGCCGATCCGATCTTCCAGATATTAAATTGATATCGGCCGATAACCGATCCGATATCATATCTAATTTTGTATTCTGTAAAGATACCGGTTTTAATTTTCAATATACTTTTTATTAGTACAACATCTATAATTTTACTATACCATAACATATGTCATTTAAATATATTATTGATCAGTTATAGTTTATATTCAATTCAATTGCTATTATTTATATAATAAGTAATAACATTAATCTATTTACATAATTAGTAATAAACAAATATATTATGAAATTTGAAATTATTATTTAAAATTATTAATATATCGAAGATTTCTTTTTAGAAATACCAAAATTTCCAATTTATCATAGATCGGTCTTCTGTGATGGGACTGTTAATATCACTAGCATCACTAAAAACAGATTCTGAAGAGATTAATAAACACTTTTTTAAACAGGCGAAAAAAAATAACTATATTGCAGAATGTTTATTAACTAATTATTACTATTAAAAAAATTAAACATAAAAATATATTTCGATTTTATTTATAAAAATAAATGGTTTTTTAGATATAACTTTTTTAAATTTTGTTAAAAGCGCCATTTTATATCGGATCGGATCAGAAAATTATAATATTTGCCGATAACCGATATTTTAAACTGGGCGAAATATTGGCCCGATCCGATTCAATATAAAATATCGGTACATCTCTAATAGAGAGATATGGTGATTGATGTCGGAGTGTTGTGTATTTTTTAAAATGAAAAATGTTTTTTGTTTATTATGTTTGAAGAAAAAAGATATCATGATATTTGATAAAAAGGTTTTTGGATTTAATTGTAAATTAAATAAAATTATTATATTTTTATACGAAAGTTTTTGGATTTAATTGTAAATTAAATAAAATTATTTTATTTTTATACGAAGGTTTTTGGATTTAATTGTAAATTAAATAAAAGAATTATATTTTTATACGAAAGTTTTGAATTGAATTTTAAATTAAGAAGGGATAGCCAGGCCAAAACACTTAAATTGGGAAAGTCGTTTTGATAAGTCTTTCACCAATTTAAGATTAGGATAAACGATTTTTAAAATTGATTGACTTTTAATGATGAAATGTTAGATAAAAAAAAAGACATGTTATTTTAATTAAAATGATTATTCAAGATATTTATCGGGCCGAAGTTCGGGTCGGATACCTCTTGCAACCCGACCCGAAAAGAAAGTCTTTTATGCCCGAAAATTATCCTTGCTTGAAGTATTGCCCATAGATGGTAGAAATTTTGAAAGCTAAAGTAAAAGTATTTTGGCAAAAATCTTGCTTTTGCCATTTTTTAAAAATCGGCGAAAGGGAACCAATTAATATGTGTTGAATATTTAAAATATTAATTTTTTATGGCATTAATTCAAAATTAGATGGTAAATAAAAATCATTCAAAATATCGGATCCGTGAAATATTTCAAATATTCGATTTGTTATAGAATTATGTACATTATGCAGTGAAGATCAACAGTTCGGATTTTAATAGTAATCTGGTCCAATCATTTTATAAATATTTTAATTATCTTATTAAATGGCTATATATTTATCGCAACAGCTTTTATCACATGCACAACTTAATTCATATTTATTTTTTTTTCAAGGGAATTTTTATTCATCTTAAATTAAGCGCGACGAATAGTCAGAAAATATTTTATAAAATTTCGCCCGCTTTTCGGACTAGTAGGGTCTTTGAGTCATTAGTTATTTTGTTTAATTGTGATAGTGCCCTCTTGTTTTAAAACTTCTTACAACTCAAATTCAAAGAAGTGTATATAAATAATAACTGAAAAGATTAAAGCAATTAGAATGAGATGAAATCATAAGGCTCTTCG